TCCATGGAGTGCAGACTGGCACCCATGGTTCCTCTGTCAGGTTGAACTTCCTGAACTGGTGCTGTCCCTTATTGGTCATGGTGCTGACGTTGGACATCCACTTCAGGTCCTGGGAGATAGTGGAGCCCAGGAACTTGAAGGACTCTGCTACTGATACAGTACTGCTGAGTATGAGGGCTGTGTGTTGAACTCCAGGTTATGCCGAACACACCACAGGTCCAGCTGTCAAACCTCCCGTCTGTAGGCCAACTCATCACCATCTTGCATGGGACCAGTGACTGCTGTGACATCTGCAAACTTCAGGAATTTCACAGATGGGTCTCCGGAAGTGCAGTCATTGGTGTAGAGGGAGAACAGCAGCAGGGAGAGGACACATCCCTGGTGGGCACATGTGCTGATTGTCTGGGTGCCGGATGTGGTTTTCCCCAGCCTCACCTGCTGTTTCCTGTCTGTCAGAAGGCTGGTGATCTACTGACAGATGTGGGGAGTCACATTGAACTAGCATAGGTCCCTAGGGAGTCAAGGTGTTGCAGGATGTAATGTAGTGCCATATTGACTGCATCATCCACTGACCTATTTGCCCAGCAGGCAAACTGCAGGGGTCAAACTTTTGTGAGATTCCATGAGACCATGTGAATTCCCTTGTTATTTATGACTTTAGTGCACAATTACAGTCAGGGAAAAATTATTTGAACCCCAGCTGATTTTGTAAGTTTGCCCACTAACAAAGAAATGATCAGTTTACAATTTCAGTGGTAGGTTTATGTGAACAGTGAGAGACACAACAATAACAAAAAAAATCCAGAAAAATACATTATAAAAAAAGTTATACATTAATTTGCATTTTCATGAATGAAATAAGTATTTGATCCCCTATCAGTCAGCAAGATCTCTGGCTCCCAGGTGTATTTTATACAGGTAACGAGCTGACACTGGGAGCCCTCTCAGCTAAAAGTCAAAGATAGGGCTGAGTTCAGGTTTAGCTGCCCTACATGGGAGGATGTTAAGATGATGATGGGCATTCAGTCTAGTAAGAGCCAAAATATATTGGAAAGACAAAGGTGGTCATGTCCTGTCTAATGAACTAAATTGATCTGATGTCCATGACTTTAGTAGTAACTTTTTTTTAATTTAAGAATGCTTTTATCACATATTGATAAAGTAGGTACTTGGCATGGCTAGTTTTAATTTGACTTTTCATCAGCCTTCAATTACATAGACCCTCACATTTTAGCTGAAAGATGATCAATTTTGTAAAAACTGTCCAATCTTATTTTTTGGTTGGTGGATTTTTTAATAAATAGGTCGCAGCATCTGAAGGTCAAGTACTTTATCTGATGCTCTGTTGCCCTCTGTAGGATCACCACTTCTCTTCTCCTTGTATACTAATCCTTGTCAGACTTTCTACAGGAATACACATAAAGTTTGCAGATGACTTTTCTTGATAAAGACAACTATGGTCCTGTGATGACTGATTTTTTATAATGGTGTAAATCATCTTACCTGGAGATCAATGTAGCCAAAACTAAAGAGATGATCATTGTTTTATTGATGGATTTCTGGTTGAGCAAGTCCAACAATACAAATATCTTGCTACACTTATTGATGACAAATGAACTTTCAGACTTCAGGTACATAAGCGTCCTCAGACCCCCTTTGAGTTTTAACAAGCTCCTTTATTTGGCAGTGGATTAATTTAGACAGATAATAATGGGAAAATAATTTATTTTTTGTTCTATTCCAGAATATCAAAACAGATTACAAGCAGAGATGCAGTGGTCAGGGTTTGTACACCACAGTGTGCACATTTGCATGTCGTGCCCATCGTAGCTGGTGCAGTGCAGCGTTGAACACACCAATTCAGGAAGTGGCATGTGAAAGAAAAAAATAGAATAGATGTCTTTATTATCACTGCATGTAACATCTAGAAAAGATGTGTAAGGTGAAGGCACAAGTGGTCCCTGTGGTAATAGGAACATTGGGGGCTGTGACCCCCAAACTGGGAGAGTGGCTCCAACAGATCCCAGGAACAACATCTGAGATCTCTGTCCAGAAGAGTGCAGTCCTAGGAACAGCTAAGATACTGCACAGGACCCTCAAGCTCCCAGGCCTCTGGTAGAAGACCTTGAGCTTGAAGGAAGGAATACAAGACCGCCACAAAGTGGGGGGCAAGTGGGGAATTTTTTTATATGTTCATAAAACAAATTTTAAGTGTCTGATGCATGTTATTCCACAACAGTATGACATTGCACATAGTGGAGAGGTGGGAAACAGGGCGGTATGAGTTCTGTTCACTGATGGCTCTTTAGGGCTCTGTAGCATCTTCCATATGGTATCAGTGAAAACGAGTGGTGAAAGAGATTAGTATAGTCCTTGAAGATGTTGCAGGCTATGCTGTGGCAGCAAGACCTGTAGGGGTCCTCGGGGGTGGGGGTGGGGTTGGCAATGGAAGTCCACTGATCTTTTGTGCTGTTTTTATAAGCCCCTGGAGTGCTGCTCTGTCGGCTGCTGAACAGTTCCCACACCAAGTTGTAATCCGGTATGTTAAAATGCTTTCTGCTGAGCAGAGGTAGAAACACTTCAGCAGTTCAGCAGAGAGATGGTTCTGAGGAATTAAAATCTCTGTTGAGCTTTTTTAACCCGAGCAGCAGAATTAATAGTCCACTTGAGGTCCTCATTGACATGGATGCCCTGGAACCTCAAGCTGGACACCCTCTCCACCTCCTCTACCCCTATTTTCAGTGGCAGGAGCCCCCCTTGGTGTCATCTGAAGTCTATAATAAGCTCCTATGTTTTTATAATGTTCAGTGACAGATTGTTTTCTGCACACCGCATAGACAGTCACACACATATCTCTATTGGCAGTCTCAGTGCCAATTGAGATAAGCCCCACCACAGTTGTATCATCTGCTAATTTAATTACTGTATTTGTGGGATGAACTGGTGTGTAGTCGTATGTGTAGAGAGAGAATAGTAGGGGACTCAACACACATCCTTGTGGTGCTCCAGTGCTGAGGGTCAAGGTCATAGAGATGTCTTTATTGTCCCCAAAGGGAGATTTGTTTTCACAGCCTGTACACAACACAGAAGCGTACAAATATTCTCACACCATACTCACTGAACATTCATACCTCTATCCTAGACCTAAACCCACACACACACAGATGGATCGGGATGCATACAGCAGCATCAAGGATGCTGTGTGTTTAGAGCTGTAATGGCAGAAGGGCCAACTTTTGCCTAGATGAGCTCTTCTCTATTTTAAAGTCATGTATCTGGGACCTGATGATAATAACAGGAAGTATGGATACTGAGGGTGTCATTTGTTATTGCTAGCGTGTGAGGCATGGTCATTCATGTCTGAGAGGGTGGTGGCAGGGATACAGATGATCTTGGAAGTGACACGTAATCTTGTTAACTCTGTTTCTGTTGGAGACGGTTAACATTGTGTAAAGCAACAGCTGTAGCTGAGGGGCACATGAAGTACTCTGAGTTTGTGCATGATGTGGTCTCTGCTGGAATCATCTATGAATATCAGATCTGTCCTTATGGTGGAATTAATAACATTAGTGATGGAAAGTTAAGTGTTACTAGTGACACCTGTTTCATGAGTCAAAATGTCTGCTGTGAAAATGGTCCATTTTTCTCTTTATTGAATAACTGATACTATGTATGAAAAACAACTTAAACGGCTTACTTACAAATATGCGTACATGCAAAAAATAGAAAAGGGCTGCAAACTATGACTGAAAAGAACAGACTCTATGACAAACAGAAATAATTAAATAGTAAATAGAAGACCTTTTCATTTGCCACAGTACAAAAAGTCAAAACATTAACAAAAGTACTATTCTCTTTAAATGTCCCATGACCCGATAATGTGACACTGTGACTGTGAACACCACAAAACTGAATTCAGCCATCATTAATTTTATTAGTTATACCTGCCCTTTCTGACTGTCATATGTTAAATTATCTGCAGTAACAGCACATAGTGAAACAAAGCGTCCAGTCTCCCATGTTAATGGATTTTTAAACGAATGGGTTTTCAGAAGTTATGAAAGGGCCACTTTGAAGACGTTTTTTGGTTGTGGTGGTGGGGGGTGTTGCTGTTTGTCGATGTCTAATCCAAACTAAACTGTAATTGTTTTTTTTTTTTTGATAATGTATTAGTAAGTAGTTCAGTGCTAAGAGTTTCCAGCATACATGCCCAACATTCTCTGGTCTTTCTTTGTCATATGTGTCCTAATAGCTGATTATTGTTGGGTTCTGGGAATTTGCATTCGGTGTTAAGAATTTCCTGACTACAGGAGGAGCGCGTCTCCTTAGATTATTCCTCAGTTCAGCAATAAATCATTAAAATGATGATGCTTTTGTACAATGCATTGCTGTAGCCTATGTATTAGAGTGATAAAATACGCAGTAGTAAAGTGGCGTGTACGGTCTAGAGCGCAGGCATCATCAAGGCATGAAGGCGGGAGTCTCCATCGCCGTCGAGAGCAGGGGGCTTGGCCGTTGTTGTGAATGAGGGCTAACATGACGTCAGGAAGCCAATGTCAACAATGCAGCTCCTGGAGGAGAAAAGGCGTTTCATCCCAACACACACACACAAACACACGGGAGACCTGTCTACCACACTATCTGAGGGCTGCGGAGATAAAACACAATGTGGACTCTATTGCTTCTGAGGAACTAAACGCAGACGAGAAGAAAACGGGTGAGTCGGTCCCTGCGTTACAAAGACAGTAAGCAGCCACTGGTCGTTCCTGAATAAAGCAGACTATCCGAGCGCCTTGCCAGCCTTGGATTTGCTTCTGATCTGCCTGCACTGGCTGGTTGTGTTCGCTGGAGTTCGCTTACCCACGGCGTCTCTCTTACCTATTAAACCCGAGCAGCGTGCACGTATATGATGTGCTTTTGACACTGGTGGTGTTCAGGTCGGTGTTTTCCGCTAGTCGTCGTTCCAAAATGTCTTTGCGTCAGAAACGTGAATCGGTTAGTCTCGTTATCACGGTCGGAAAGTATGACAAAGTGTGTTTTGAACTGTTTGGTTGTGCTGCCTGTTTTACGATGCCAACTTTTTGAAAGCCACTGCAAAACAAACAATAGCCATCTGAAAGAGACCTGACCGTGGTGCCTTGCGTCCCTGAGCAGTCCTGTTTGTGGTGACACCGTGACAGACCGCACGGGTCAGTTCATTCTTCACACAAGTTGTTGGTCCAAATATTGGTCGGCCTGTCATTTATTAGCTAACCACGTCCCACTGCATAATACATTCCTTAACGCATATCCAGTGGGACACTAAACGGGGACACGTATATTGTAAGGAAGACAACCGAAGAAAGCGCTCCTGACATGCTGGGGGAGGAGGGGGCTGCACACGGACAAAGGACCCTGGCTCCCTCCTCCTTATTCCCGCCCTCAGAAGCCGAGCTGTTGGTTCAGTAAACATCCAAGCAGTAATGTCTATATGGACCAAACTCTTAATGTAATAACAGTTGTTAAAGGTTCGCCTCTACATTCCGTCTAAGACCGTGTGTGTTCAAATTGGTTGTATCGCTGCTATTCACCTAGTGAGGCTTTAAACTAATTACACAGCTCTTAGCCTGTCACTTGGACATATTCTGTTACTCAGTTCAAACTCATAAAGGGTTTTTTTTAGTTAAGATAATATATTATGACTGGAGTTAACCGTGGCTGTTTGTACACTTGTCTAATCCATTGTGAATATCCCTTGTCGTGAACACATAAGCTCTTTGTTATCTTTGCACTTCAGGCCTTCCACTCTTCTTTCTTCCATTTAGGCTATACGACTCTATCCATCCATCCATCCATCCATTTTCCTCCGCTTATCCGGGACCGGGTCGCGGGGGCATATTATACGACTCTACTAATGGGAAAACAGCAATGGCATCTTGGTTTTATTGGGGTGAGGTGACGTTTGTGTCTGTTCTCCACTCTGCTGGTTTACAGACAATTCGGCTCAATGAAGCAGATGAAAGGTGACTGTGGCTGCAGATAGTTCTTGAGCAAAGACTAGTTCTCTGAAAATATTACTTATTTACTGAAAATACAGAATTATTAAAGGGGAACTCGCCTCACTTTATACATTGAGGTTAGTTTACTTCTCTCAGTTTATTCTCTCTCTTTTACTGCCCATCTTGTGAAAACAGTCATAAAATGTTTTCTGTGGAACAACAGAAAATAAGCCCACAGAGGTACAATGTACAGCACCTGTCAAATTGCGAACTCCAGATAATGTATGAGCCTTAAGCCCCCCCCACATGAGTCATGCTTCCTACCCCATCCCTGTGGTATGACGTCACATATTTTCACACCTAGGCTTCAGGTTTTTATGAAGTCATAGTTTTATGTCTTTGTAGCTGTCTGCAATAAAACTAGGGTTTCTCATGATTTGATATCATCAAAGGATTATATGATGTTTTCCTTATGTCTAAGGACTAATTCTCAGTCATCCAGGTTGTAGTATGCTGAAAAAAACTTAGCAGAAGGCATCTGAATGTAGTTTTAGGTAGATGACGTTTTGTCTCTCATCCAAGAGCCTTCATCAGTTCTGTCTGACTGGTGGTGAGCAGGAAGTATTTATCCCACTGGGTGGGGCTTCAGTCCTTCTATGTCCTCAACAAACTCCTTTCTTCTCCCACAACCAAAAAAAAAACAAGGGCAGAGAACAGCAATGTCATTTGCAACTTCTTATCAGTCATATTCTTGATTATAAGCAGCTATAAACAGCAGCTCTACTAAATGAGAGGTGCTTTGTTTATAGCTTATGATTGTGTAGTCTCTTTTTCTTTCCCTTTTTGAATGGCGAATACACATATCGCCACCTGCTGGCCGGGGGAGTTGTTTCTTTTACACAGACGCAGAACACAAGTGCTAGTTGGCCATTGGCTGTGTTCAGGTGTCACTTTTTTAACCCAACTGGCCCAGACAAAGGTGACATGATATTTGACCCATATCAATTATAAAGCACCAGTAAAATGTTAGTTGTGTTTAAGGCAACAATTTGTCATAGTGTTAATTTTTTTTTTTAAATACTGACAAGCATCAGATTTTGTCACCGGCAGGGCTGGCACCAGAGGTGGCAGTGCCACCCCTGGCCACCCTCTTTGCTCCACCCATGCTGATAGCATCACTTGAAATTCTCCTCTGGGGACCATGAATATCCGTATTGAGTTTAATTTCCCTGGATAAGGATGGGCAGGCAGACTGGGATGCAGAACAGAAGATTTATACAGTCCAGAATAAAATACTTACTCAAAGATTTAAGTTTCAAGTCCAGAAATATGAAAACAGTACATTACAACAATTTGGTGGTGTGATGTTATTGATTAAATCTGATTTTAGGTTGATTTAAATAAGTTGATTGGAACATGTTTATAGACATGAAAAACTGTGCGAATATAAATACACAGTGATGTGTTTGGCACTGCCAGAGCCTGCAGTGCCATTTATGTAGTATGGACTAGTATTGCTGAATTGAAGGGCAGTTGTGGTTTGCATCCTGTGAGGAGTGTGAAACGTGTTGTGTGCGGAGGTGTTTGGTCCTGAAAATAACTGCTTTTCAATCGACTGTTCTTACCACTATGTAACACATGGAGTCATAACCAGCTATAATTCTTCAAAAAGTGAATCCAGTCTGTAAACACCAGCCTGTTGGTAGCCTGAGAAGTTAAAGGATTAGAACATAATCACCATAGTGATAAATGTGAACATTTGAACTTACACATGCTGAGTGATCACAGATCACTAGCATTGTTAAAATGAGAACTGTAGCTAATTACTTTATTGCTAATCAGTTGTTCAGTATACAGCATAAGGTGTCAGAAATCTGTGAAAAATGTTAATCATTGTTTCCAGTATCTGATCAACCATCCAAACTCCAACAGTATTCAGGCTGCTGTGACAGCAGAGAAAAACAAGTTGAGAGGCAGCAAATATTTGGCACTTTTGTTGATCATTAATTTCTGAATTGATTAACTGATTATATGCTCTTTATAGTCCTAGCATCACTTAAGACAGTGTATTAAATTAAGTTTTAGTCCAAAATAAAAGTAAAATATATAAATGGGCAGCACTGTCGCTTCACAGCAAGAAGGTGCCGGGTTCAAACCTTGTGGTTGAGTTTGCACATTCTCCCAGTATCTGTGTGAGTTTCCTTCAAGTAGTCTACTCCAACTTCCTTCCATAGTCCAGACGTCAAGGCCAGATTGAATGGTGGCTCTAAATTGCCTGTAGATATGAATGTGAGCACATGTAGTTGTCTGTCTTTATGTGTCTGCCCTTTGACAGACTGGTGACCTATCCAGGGTGTACCCCTCCCCTTCCCCAGTGTCAGCTAGGACTGGCTCCAGCCCTCTAGTGACCCACCACAGGATAAGCAGTATAGATAATGGATTAATAGATATGCTGTTTCATACTATACTAGTGATAGACTGATTAATCAGGTCAATATTTGGCATTTTTAGATAACCTGCATTATCTGATTTCTGTGCATAAGGCTGAATAACAAAAAAAAAACATCTGCAGACATCTGCAGGCAGCC